GAGTTTCTTGATGACCTAACAAAATACCAATTAACGATGGAAAACCCTAGTAAGCTTGTCAACCTTTTGCCAGACCACTTGAAAACAAAGTCCTTGGCATCCTTGGTGAGGGAAGAACTTCAGGCCGAATGCAGAGAAAAGAGATGCCAAGCTGACGTGGAAGGGAAATGTGAGGCTACAGATCGCTTTCGTCACATGTTGTACTCACCAGATCTCGTAAATGGAATTCTACGAATACTGAAGTCCCAGCACGACAAAGCCAAATTGACAGAAGAGGTTTGCGACAAAGTTCGCGGTTTTCAAAACGCACTAATCATCAGTTGCATGGAAACGTTATCCACGGAGTTAATCAATAATGAATCCAACACAGTTATTCCTAACAGTAAAAAACCAACGTACCTAGGTTGCTTCGTGGGGCAGGACAACGGTAAAAAGCATATCTTCATCCAACATGGTACAGATTCTGGTAATACGAGGAGACAGATATGTTCTGAAATATACAGTCTGACCGGCTGCCTCCTCAATGAACAGAACGTATTGCTCTTGGCTACTATCCTTGAATGTACGTCTCCGGCTGATATTTCCATCACACTGGATAATGCTGGAGTGTCGGATGATGTAGAAGCTGACGAAACACCAAGATTGGAACCAAGCCTTGGTTCTGAGGTCCCTGAAGAGTTCCACGAGCTTCTAGACCAGTACAATGACTTCTATTTTCGCCCAGAAGAGTTTGTTGCATACGAGAGAGAAGATTCGACCGAAGAGGAACCGAAGTACATTTATGCAAAAATCATCCGCCACATTAAAAAGTCTAGTTCTGCTAAAGTAAAAAAGGACCGAACAAAAAGAAAACAAAAAGGAGAGAGCAACCTGCTTAGTAGGTATCTTATAGACATTGGCCAAGAAAGGAAAGAGGTCGACGTTCTGGATTTGTACAAGTTTAGACGACCGCAGAAGAGCGGGGAAGAGGAAGAAGACGAGGACGAGTCTATCTCAGAGTCAATGGAGGTTGTGCCTTATGCAGGAGCGAGTGACCAAAGTACTGGACAAGCAGGGGCGGAGTCATCGAGGCCCGCTCAAGAAGCAAGTGAGCCACCCAAGCCCAAGACATTGGAGAACGCTCTGAGAGAGGTAAAAAAAGCTCTTGCCGAAATTTGGAAGCTTCCAGAAGATAAAAGAAAGAAAGCAATAAGGCGACTATACCTGCGATGGCATCCGGACAAGAACATGGACATGCAAGACATTGCAAATGAAGTCATGAAGTTTATACAAAACGAGGTTGAAAGGTTATCAAAAGGAAAGTCGTCAAGCCGCGATGAAGGGTATCCAAGACCACCGCCACCAGATTTTTCGGACTTCTTCAAGCAGTGGAATGAAAGAGCTCGACGACAGCGCTCAAGCTACACCAACTACCGCCGCCACAACCCACGATTTACAGGTTTCGCATCACACTCGAGAAGGACCTACACGGCACCTAATCCACGCGTAGCGAAGATGTGGATTCGTCAAAGCAAAGAAGACCTGCGCTCTGTAAAACATCTTCTGTCTTCCCGAGATCCACTTTACTACCTTGTCTGCTTCCAGTGTCATCAAATCGCGGAGAAATCTCTCAAAGCAGCTCTTTACGCTCTATCAGGAGTCGATGACAGGCAGGTGAAATCTAACGACTTGGTTCTATTGGCAAATGATCTTTCACGGCTTCCTGGCGCTCCAGATGTGACACCGCAAGTAGCCAAGCTGTCTAACTATTACGAGGGCACTCGATATCCTAACAAGCACATCCCAGCTAAAGTGCCTGCTGAGGTGTTCCAAGATTCTCGGCAAGCACAGGAAGCGTTCAGACTGGCCACAGAAGTTTTGGAATTACTAGAACAGTTTGTTGGACCATAGTCACTGTCTTTGTGACTGTATAACATTCTAGATACTGTTAAAAATGTAACTGCTTTACTTTAGGCATCGGGATCTTAAAAATAATTGGAAACATTTAAGGTAGCTAAATGGAAGGACACTACTAGCGCATCTCTATCTCAGCATGACGCTAAATTTTGGCCAAAGTGGACTAATGTTGCTTAACATGATTTAAATATTCAACTGAAGAGAAATTGGCGATTTGTAGATAAAATTAGTTAGTAGCATCCTAGTTGTTTTGTATTTCAAATTTTTAACCAGTAATAATTTACTGTAGTGACAAGGCTCTCTTCATAAAGGGTTTCATAAGGTAACGAACAATAAGTTTATATCAATTTTTTACTGTTTTTTTACAATTCTCGCTGGTTATCCGTGATGCATGATGTTGCTTACAAAAAAGAAAAAATCTTGCATTGCCAATTTGAGTTTGTGTCTCCGTAAAACGAACAGAAACAAAACTACCTCATAAGAAGACCTAGACCTTTCTAAGAGTTCTTAATATTTTGTAGTTTGCCGAAGTGATAGGAACACATTCGTATGTTTTTGCTATAGCAGATAACCATAAGGAATCGTTGCATACATTTTTTCTCGTCAAGGAAAAATGTTTTCAAGTCTATATTTACTAGAATTCGTTTTAAATATTAACGTTGAATTATCAAGAGACTAAACGGTGATTCTTTGTAGTTTAGAGTAATATGAAGAATTTTGTAATATTCTAATAATCCATTAAATGGAAGGAAATAATTCGAGAAATAAGATTGTTCGCTTGAAAAATTACCGCATAGTATTCTGCTAGCAACGTGCCTTCCTTTCCTTTGAAAGTTATAAGTGCTGTTTCTTCACTTCATCATAAACTGGTAAGTATTGAGAGAACTATTCTATGGGCTTTGTTTTCTTGGAATTGGACAGAAGGGAGGGGCTCATTTGTGTTGAAGCCTAGGTTGTGTCTCCAAGCGCGGGTAACTCATTCTCAAATATTTTTTGCTAAGACTTGCCGCTCACATTCTTCTTTGAGTAAAGGAAAAAATTCTAACTTGTACCTGAGCAAAACGGGGTAAAACAGATGGAATTCATCAGTTGAAGCAGTAAGCTTTAACAAGTTCATGATCACAGGAATAAAAGTGACACCACTTCTGTTATGCCACAATAAACAATACTATACTTAGTAAAAAAAATCCTTTCATTCTCATATTTGATTACTAATTCACTGCAAAGGCTTAAAAAATTATTTTCAAGTTGCAAGGATAAAGCTGATTGAAAGTAACTGGACTGAGTGGAATACCAAACTGGGAAAAATAATCCATCTAGAAATTTGTCTTTTACTGTGGTAGACTTGACTAAAAGTGAGTTTGGGGCAACAACCAAAGAGAAAATTTGGGCCAAACCAGAGAGCATGATATGGTTTATTTGGAATTGTACAAGTGTTAATTAAGACCATTTGGAACACATGAGAAGAGGAATAAAGTTCTGAGAACACAATACTTAGAAACAACACCAATCTGTGGTAAGAATTTCTACAGTGCACCACAATACAACACAGCACAGAGTAGACTTCTTTCACCTTAAACCCATTATCTTATTTAGGACAATTGCTTTTCACTTCCTACCCAAGGTAATGTTAGTCTACACACTCTGGAATGTTATCAAAGGAGAAAATTACTGAGAAAACGCAGTTCAACACTTCCGATGGTTTTACTTTCCAAGCTACCCGTTGAAGGTCCAACTTGTGGTTGGGTATTCCCTGAAAGCCTGAACACCATATCATTTAGTTTTTGGCAAATCCCTGACCAACTTTAGACAACCAAAACCACCCCTCAACATTCCAAGCTTGTTTGCAAAAGTAACACAGCTTCATAAAAAGTTATTTTTCTTTTGATAAAATTGACCTCACCAACATAAACATAGCTCCCTCTACATTCCCCTGGCGGACCTTGAGGGAACATGATAGATTTAAGCTTGCCCTTTAACTCCCATGAGTGACCAAGACAGAATTTCTCCCTACAATATCTATACAATATCAACCAGATAAGTGATGGGAATAAAGAAAAATATTAAATTGGGAATAATTAATTGATTCAATACTAAATTCTCTTGGTCATTATATTGGTCATAGGTTCAAATTACGCACAGACCTAAATTTTTTTTAGGCCTTATTTTCACTACTGCTTGAGTAGTGTTCATTACTGCAAAGATCGCTTTCATATTCATGTCTTTATCCACAGTTCACATATATGATTTTCATATATTCACAGTCATTTATTATCAAAAGTATTTAATAGAAACATCTCATTATTTCCTGGGTGTCATCATATGAACAGAGTATTAGTAAAATGTTATCTGTTCATGCAATGGCATCCAGGAAATAATCAGATCCTACATCTCTGAGCATGCATTAAGAACAACTGAACTAATACCACACAAGAGGAACAAATGCAATGGCAGGCAAAAAACACAATGAGAGCAAAATTTAAAAGATATTTTATTAGTTAACAAAACATGATGAACTGTTCCTTCTGCCTTTTTGATAGAAAGTGATGTTTATAAAATCTTGTGAAATGAATGACATTCCCAAAATGTTCAAGGAGGCACACAGATATATGTTTCTGGGGCTTGCAGAATGGCAGTAAGTTACCAATACCTACATCTGATCAGTATAGTTGGTCATTAATACATCATCTTTTCAAAAGAGAAAATTCTACATAGTTCCTCAGTTTGTCTCTTTATTTACTTCTTCCTCAGTCAACACAGTGGTACTATCAATTTCAACTTACATAATGTTTTCTTTGGAGTGAATAAAAGTAATGAAGAAGAACATTGGTTGTTAGTTTTAATCTAAAAAAGGCAAAGCTCACAGGGAAATTGATCAAAGTTAAGAATATATAATTTTTGACAAAAATTTATTGAAAGTGATTTCAATCTGATTTCCAGAAAGACCTTTCTTTCAGACCTGTTTGTCATATGGAATAAGCTTAGGAGTGAAAGTATTGGTGAAAATGGAAAGTCTACAATTAAGAGGTTGACTGTGCAGTCTGATTGAGGGTTGGTCTAATAAACACCAGGGTTAATCACAGTTTGTGAAGCAAACATTCCCCCACCTCCACCTCTAGAGGCAGGAATTTTCTCTCATTCCAAGGGAATGAAGTCTCCTCCCAACAGCACAAAGGCATCCTCAATTGTTTTTTAACCTCTGCATCTTCCAACTAGTGTTTTTGACATCACAAAATTTCAACTATTTTGTCTCCTTGACAAAAGCTTCTGCAAACACCGGTAGATTTCTGTAATTTCTCAGCAGCTCACTGTTGAAATAATACACAGAGAGGGAAAAGCTTCAGGTGCTTTGCATACCCTAAAATGTGCGTGGGGTATGTATTTTATTACTGTTACCATTGTTATTATTGTCATTATTTTACTGTGAAGAAATCTCAGTACAAGGATCCATGTTTCAGAGGCCATATGCACCATTTTTGCTCACAGTAGAGCCCATAAGCACAGTCCATTATACTCATGCTTCATGAAAATTTGATAAACCAACTCTGAGGGGAGTGTATATGAGAATGGCAGGTTGGGAATGTGAAGCACATACACTCTCTAATACCTCTGGAAATCTAAAAAAAGCATATCCTTATACCCAGTTTATTTGCAGAAATAAGCTGATGTGACTAACCTCACTTGTCCTCTTTTGTTTTTGCCAAGCATGCAAGAAATGCCCAAGGTACAAACCTCTGTGCAGTTTATACTTATTTCAGAAAAACATTTTGTTTTTTGTGTCTCATTCATAGCCAAAGAGATTTTTAATTTGGCTCCAACTCTTAAGGGTCAAATGACAGAAAAAGCATTATGTTCAAAACTGATTATGGATAAAGAAAGAATCTAAATGATGAGGAAATTTTGCTGTTTTGATTTACAACACTTTTCCCTGTTCTTCTGAACCCCTAAAATAAAATATTATTGGTTAAATCACTCTTGCCCCATGCCCCTTCATCCCTTTTGCACTCAAAACATCTTTACGGGTAGTTAGACTGTATAGTTACTCACTCCAAGCTTTACTGAGTAAGTACTTACCATTTTTCAGTGTATTGGGTTTTACACTTAATTAAAAGTTCCTTCTGCTCTTCACAGCTCATTTCTATCCCAGGTATCTTGTCTAACAATGCTCTGCAGTGTTGCAACTTTGCACGGAAACCATTAACCTACAACAACATTTAGAACAAGGTACTTATGACATAAAGTGTGATTGGGCAACTTTTTTTCTTGTGAATCATGATATGATTTTTTTTAATTTGCAAATCATAATTAAAGATCTTTTAACATCCACATGAGTGAATTCTTTCATTTTATGTGACCCATCAATTAAGAGCTGAATTAAACATGGTTTGTAAACCATTTTGTTTTGCATGATGAATTTCTGGCTATTTCATTGTTTGAAAAATGTATATATTGTCCATGAACAGCTGTGGTTAGGTTTTGAACAGGGTTTTGACAGGATATATACTTTATGGGGACAAATAAAAGGCATAAAATAGAACATTCATGGTTCTAGAAAAAATAAGATAAGACATTACATCATCTTTTGTTGCATCAAAAAGGTGAAAACCTACATACAATTTTCCAATTCCAATGATTTTCTTGGGGCACCAGTCAGTTGAATGTGTATCAAGCAGTCACCCATAAGGAATGGTGGGGTAGCTACTTAATACAAGTCAACTACTTAATCCTTTAACCCCAAAAGTGACCAGCTTCTAATTTCTCCTTACAATATCACCCCTGAATCAAACATTAAGGTCATGAGAATAAAGGAAATGATCACCAATTTATAAAGCTCTTGATTGTTAAACAAATTTTCCTTGTCAGCATTCCAGGAAATGTATAGAGAACAGTATAGAGAATATGCAAACTGATTTCAGGGGGTAAAGGGTTGATACAGGTTCCCCAGAATAAGGGTATGGTAGAAAAAAAAGCCATTCTGTGCCCTAAGTGACCACTATGGTACAAAAACTCTCTCAAAAATGCTACTAACACTGATTTCGATAGATAAACATGAATTGAATTTTACTTGAAAGATTATTCTTAGTTTTATTTGAATGGTTCTGCTTGTAGTGACCGTTGAATACAGGTGGAGAACAATCCTCGCAGCTATGAACACTACTGAACTAGTGGGGAACATTATAAACAGGCCGTTGGGAATCAGTTAAGGGATTTTAAGAGGTGACCGCGTAATAGAGGTAAAAATTACAGTAATTGAGGGGGAAAAATTTCGGGTCTCTGACAATCGACCGCTTATTACGGTGCCGCTTCATACAGGTTCGACTGTAGTTAGTGCTTTCAATCAAGACTGAGTATTTCACTTGAATACAGTAAGACGAATATCTCTCGAAACTGAAATAGAAAACATAGAGATACCTTCTTTGTAAACTCCTGGGGATCGTTTGTCTTCTGCAGTGCCTGAATCGTTTCGAATATTATCGGGAGAAGATTAAACTCCTTCGCTACATCGATTTCTTCAGATTCACTGGCAGCCATATTGACCACAGCTGTCATTCCCAGTCCACTACACGAAACAGGCGATTTGATTGGTCAGCAAAACACAGGCTACTTACAACCATGTACTCTTTTGCAATTTGAACAGACTAACCAGGAATTTCCCTTGAAGATGTTAGTGTGAACTGTGTATAGTTATGGTGCTTCGCACTAAAAAAAAAAGGCTTTGAAATATGCACAGGTTGGCATCTCTCGATAAACTTGCTTGTGAGGAAATGATAGTGTACAACTTACAAGCTCTTCTCATGAAGAAGAGCAGTCATTTTCTGAAATGGGAATAAGAGTTTATGATGTAAAGATTGGCAGAGTTAAAATTATTGCTGCCTCTGTCAGACAAAAGAGGGCACCACCTTGGAATTCCTTTTCAAGTGCTATGCTGTTTGGATGTGTCATTGCTGTTGATCAAGGGTGACCTCACGTTACAGGTCTTTGATACATTGTTTCCTGCATGGTCTCTTTAACCCTCTAACTATCTGAAGTGATTAACATGTAACTTCTCCCTATAATATCAAGCTTTATCCAGCAAACAGGTAATGAGAATAATTAAACTTATCAGGTAGAAGTTGGTATAACCTTGATCTAACACCAAATTCTTGAAACTGATATCCAAGAAAACATGTAGCAGCTACAGGGGAGAATTAACAATTAGATCTCTCATTACCTGTTTGTTGGATAATATTTGGATTTAATTAAAGGTTGAAGGGCATGTGAGACTATGAAACCATCTATGAGACAATGTGAAATTTGAATTTAACCTGTTAAATCCCAAGATCTAATTGTTAATTCTCCCCTGTAGCTGCTACATGTTTTCTTGGGATTTAACAGGTTAAATTCAAATTTCACATTGTCTCATAGATGGTTTCATAGTCTCACATGCCCTTCAACCTTTAATTCCCAGAAGTGATTATCACACGTAACTTCTCCCCAGTATCCAAATATTATCCAACAAACAGGTAATGAGAACACTCAAATTGATCAGATAGAAGTTATTATCTTGATCTCAAACCAACTCCTCATAACTAAATCACAAGGAAATGTGTCACAGATAAAGGAGAGAATCAATAATGAGATCTTAGGAGTTAAAGGGGTTAATTTGTGTTGGTCTAACACTACAAGCACATTTAAGTTTCCCAATCCACTGGCTCCAATGTCATCATGATATACTTTACATTGTAAATCAACCCCTTAAATGAAACGCTTAAAGTTAGCCCTTAAGCTGTGTCAGTAAATATTTAGCTTGCTATCATTTCAAACATGTCCTCTTGAAGTAAAAGTTCAATGATGAGTTTGCATCAAAGCAGTAACCTCTCCTAACAAACCAGGTCTTCAAGCATTGTTAGACACTCCTTTATCTTTAATATCTCTCTTTTTCTGTTTTGTTCATCCGAGATCGCAAAGCATGGCCATTAAATTGAGTGGACTTTCTTTCTACAACTTGGACTGGAAAATGCAAACAAAAATACATTTGGAGTAACCTCACCATTCCTTAGCACATATTCACCTCGCGTACTTTGTTTATGAAAATGCTCGATTTTTAAGACATACATGAAAAATTAATACTGTTATTTACGAAAATTTGAAACTACTTCCTGCTTAATCGGCTGAATAAAAAATCCGCGAGGACACCTCCCAAGTAAGTGACGAATGCGAATAACTTGCCGTTACCATATATAATCTTCTCATCAAAGATCAAACATTCCGAACAACAATAATATCAGTCCTTTAATACAATGAAGTCAGTAAAATACAATGATCCATTATGTAGGTTTACCTCAATTCGCTCTCGATGCAACCTGAAGAAGCTTAAATGTAGAATAATTGAAATTATTTATTTCTAGCAAGATTTACAAGTACGTGATATTTCTCAATTGAAAAGCTTCGATCAACCGTGGGGTAGGAACAAATTCACTCTAAACAGTCTACTTACACATTCACTTGCGTTCGTTATTACAGAGAATACACTGAGAGAAATTGCTTTACCTCCTTAGGTGGCACATCCACCCATTACAACAATAAATCACGAAACGGCAAAACCACGGGTCGTCGGTAAACGTTTCCCGACTCTCTTTCATTTTCCATTATTATTTGGGGGAAGATTGCAGATCAAAGTGTATTCGCTTTCCCAAAATGAAGAGATCGCGAGTGATCAGTTCCAATAATGGCACAATCACAGTGTTTAAGGCCATAAAATACCACGGGAAAAGCTGCAGTGAATAAGACTCGTAGAGGAAACAAAAGGTCACATCGAGTGATATACCCAAACTGTCTATTGAACTTGCAACTCAATTGGACTTTAATGCGCGGGGCTTTGTATGTATAACTGTTCTAAATCAAAGTACAAGAGCTCCTTTCTTTGAACGGGTTTTGGTTCCCGGGGACTCCCGTAACAAGCGGATCTTCTCGCTGAATTTTCTCCACGTAGGTTTTCAGTTCGTTTGCCGCCTCCGACACTTTGATGCGATTAACTTTCAGTTCTGTTCTAAGTTGATCCACGGTGATTCTCTGAATTCTGAGGGTTTCTGTTGTTGTAGCGTAGGACATTGCTGCAAGGATTGATCACCAGAACTTGCTCGCTTGGTAACTGAAACTTCTGATCCTCTTGGTCTTTCGCTTCCGAATTTCCACTGAAACCTTCTAATCTTGTCAATGTGAAATACAAGCCGCAAGTGAGAAGGGTGAGGTCCCTTCCGAGCATGGGCAGTAGGGTAACACGACTCAAAACGCTTATTTACGCTCATGTCCGGAGCTTGTCGACGATTCCGATCATTGTACTCGGACGTTGGATGTGAAAAATGCTGTTTTTCAAGCTGAGTCATGAATTTTCTTTGTTATTTTCTGATATTTTGAAGGGAGTTTTTAAAAAGTGTTTATGCTTGAGGATTATCTTGTAAATCTGTTTAAGTTTCACTGAGCCTCTGTGGGCTTTATTTCAAATTTTTTAAATTCAATTTTCTATTTTCTAATGTGCATGTTCTAATTCTCTAAAAATTTGATGAGGGAAGCCATATTCCCCTCCTGGCCCTGGCCCTGGCCCTGGCCCTGGCCCTGGCCCTGGCCCTGGCCCTGGCCCTGGCCCTGGCCCTGGCCCTGGCCCTGGCCCTGGCCCTGGCCCTGGCCCTGGCCCTGGCCCTGTGCATTTGTCATCATCCCAACTTAAATCTCGGAACAGGCAATGTCTCAGATAAACAGTGCACAGATTTGCTTTAAAAAAAAACAGGACCAAGCCTCTTTCATAGGTGATAAATTAGTGAGCAAATCAAGCAATCATTTCTGTGTGGCTCGCAACAACTGGAGGTTATCTTGACCCTTTCATTTCTCAAAGTCACCAAAAACCTATTTCCCCTAAGGATGTCTACAGTCTCTCTTAGTAAGATAATTTGTAGGAAAAGAAGTTTATACTAATGGATGATTTTAGTTTTATTTAACACTGAATTTGCAATGCTAACACAGTAAGTAATGAAAAGTTATCTGTAAAAAAAAAATAATAATATATGGATCTTACAAGTGATGGGGTTGACAATAAAAAAGTTAACTCCACCATATCATTTCATCCTATCCCCTGATCCAAGCCTCTAATGCAGTAAGCAAAAAAAAGAAAAAAACATAAACAAAAACAAGGCTGTCAAATAAGTCCATTCCATAAAACACTTTTTAATTTCCCTTTTGACAGCCTAACAAAGTGTCTACAATGCAAAAATTTTTTAATCTTAATAAGACAATATACAACAAATAAGATATAACAATACTATGCCATGACTTGCAGAAATATTTTCTCCTTGAATGCTGTTATGCCACAGAAATAAATACATAAATCTTTTTATTTTCTTGTAGAGAGCCCTGTCAGTTTTTCACACTCCGCAAAACATACCCTAACAAGAAGCATGCTGAAAATATTATCTGAACAAAAAGGAAAAAAAAAACAAGCGTTGGTATCATATTTTTTTTCATGGTTATTTTGATCTTGTGGTAATAACATATCATAAGCACTCACTATCTCATGATGAAATTGAACCTGTCCAGCATTGCCCCCTTAAAATAATTAACCTCACTTCACAATTTTGTTTCTGATGGCCCATTAGGGGAAAAAAGAAATGTATTGAAAAAAATTAAAAGCTACATGCCGTATACATAAGTAAATATTAAAATATTTCTAAGATAATCAATTCAATCTACCTTCACGGAATGTTGGCTCGAGATACATTTCAGTTTCACTCAAACATCGGTTATACACAGTGATACCCATATTGATGAAAAGTTATCTGGATATCATCCCAACTGGTCATACAAGAATTAAACTCAAATAATGTCAAAATGGCTGCACGTTGCTAGACAGATGTTCTTTGTTTACGAAGAGGTCATCTTGGCCACATTTCGCATCCCAGTTCGAAATACTGTTCATGCTAATAAATTTCCAACACGAAACTCGGATGAGAAGCAAAGCGGTTTATATACGTGTTGATTAAATAAAAGATTACGATTCCAAGAGTCAAAAATTTCTCAGCAAAAATCAGTCTTTAAGGTAGTCGAAGTCGCGGCAGATCTGCTGTAAACAGTCAAGAAGCAAACCACAGAGAGAGTGTCTATGTTTGCAGTGTCATGTTAAAATTAAACTATCGCCGTAACCATTTGCATCTTTCCAAACGCAAATACAATCCAAAAAACTTTGAAAATAATCCAAGCCAAGGACAGTTTTTTGGGGGCTAAAATAAAAGGCAGGAAGACTTCTCCTTGTAAGGATTCACCGAGCTAGACACTCCCGTAACGAGCGGATCGGACTGAAGATTTTGCTCGACATATTTAGCGAGAGCAGCTGCAGTGGTCGAAATCGGCGTTCGTTCCATGTCTGCTTCGGCTCGTAGCTGGTCTACGTAGATTTTACTGACACTTGCTGGAGAAGCCATGATAATCTTGCTTCTGACGGCAACAGATTTCTTAGATCAACTCTGCGAATGATTCCGAAGGCACAAGTTTCGCGAAACCACAAAGCCCCAGAAAACGATCATGCATTAGTCATGACTTTGTAGCCACCCTTTGGATACTCTTCGGGGTAGGGATAGTGAATTCCCTTAATAGCCTTTCGCTTGTTTGTTCTTTGTAAAGGCGCTTACAAGCTAAAAGGGTTTTGTCTTAATTCTAAATATCAACATTACTGTTAAAGAGAGGTCAAAACCTCGATTCCTTACCTTTTGAACTTTTTTTTATGGAAGAAAGAAAAAAAAAATGTACTAGCTCACCCATCCCTCAAAAGATTGAAGGAGAGAACTCGCACCAGTCGGTTCGCAGTATATTGGTCTAAGTACTATCACTTCCCTCTAATTGCGCTTGTTGAACAACTTCAGTAGCGGGTTCTTATTCTTTTCCTCGATAATCATTCAATCATGTCTAAAAGACCAGGAAATGAAAATGGCGAAGAAGCTGTAACCAAGAAGAACAATCCTCAGTTAGGTGATCCTCTAAATATGCTGAAATGGATCGACGAAAACAAGAGTTTCTTTCTCCCGCCAGTATGCAACAAATTAATGTGAGTAAACTATCCACAAACTCTGCTAATTGAATTGTTTTCATCCTAGAGTCTTGACGTATTTATTTTACTCACTATTTCCAAAACACAAGAACATAACTAGAAAACTCCATGAAGGTCACTTGTTTTGAAACGTCCCTATTTCTTACTAGTTGATAAAACTTGTGTTATGTATTGCACGCTCTTTCAAGGTTACGCCGAACTAAGTACGGTTGTAAATTTCGATACCCTTAGATGAATATTTCAAAACTCGCGAGGTTGCTTAAAAAAAACATTCAGAATTCAGGCAAGAAATTTATTTTACAAATATGTCCAATGTATGCGATGGAATTTAATTTGGTGATGGTTCTGTAAGGGTGCAATATCTTGCAATATCAGAAAGTGGCTATTGCGTACATTCCGTGCAGTTTAATGGTGTAGCACCTTTTGTGAATGCAAGGGGCACAATATCGTTGGACTATTAATCACTTATTTCACTAATCAAGGAGTAATGAAATTATTGTTAATTATTTAACACCTTCACTCTAATTAATTCATCTGGAACTTATTTTAAAAGCCATTGTTTTTTCATTGAAAACGTAGAGCCCTTAATTTTTTCACTATTGTAATAGTGGCCTGTCTGCAAGGAAGCATGCAATTGTTATTTTGATTTATCTAGACAGTAAATTATCTTTAAAAAAAAAATATCTTAAAAATGTTTTTTCATTGAAAACGTGAAGCCCATAATTTTTTACCATTGTAATGATGGCCTGTCTGAAGGGAGCTTTCAATTGTTATTTTGATTTATCCAGACTGTAAATTATCTTAAAAATGTCCCTAATATACTCAGAACAAGATGTACCATTTCTTATTGGGGGCTGACTAATCAGATGTTAATTAACCTTTTAACTCTCATGAGTGACCAAGACAGAATTTCTCCTCACAATATCAATACAAATCAAGCAGACAAGTGTTGAGAATAAAGAAAAATATCAATTAGGGGGTTATAAATTGATCCAATCCCAAATTCTCCAAACTAACATCACTTGCACTGTATAGCAGACAGTAAGGAGAATTACTGATGAGATCTTGGGAATTAAAGTGTTAATTAAGGGTGCTGACAGAGATCACAGCAGTAATTTTAGGTGTGTCTCGTATACCATTGGAGGAAAAAAAAAACAATTTGGTTCAAATGGAATACATGTAGTCTGGTTAGAATCCGTCAAAGCATTTCATGAAGTGTATAAGGAAACAAATGTAATGCAATCTATAGTAGGCATGATGAGAATATATCGTGTTGAACATTTGGTCAAATGATTTTAACATGTGCTCGTGTATTCTATCATGTACATCCCAAAATTGACATTACACTGTTCAACTATAGCTTGGAGTGTGATTGGAAAATCCAGCAAAATTCAACATTAGCAGATTGGTGTTTAATTTTTCTGTTTTGTGGGAGAAAATTGTTGTAATTCCAGTTGACTGACATTTCTGTTTGAACTATTATTTTTTTGCAATTTCCTGTTGAAGCATAAGAACTTAACCCTGTAACTCTCAAGATCTTATTAGTAATTCTCCATACTGTCTGCCATACAGTTCTAGTGATGTTAGTTTGGAGAATTTGGTATTGTATCAATTTCTAATTCCTTAATTTATATTTTTCTTTATGCTCATCACTTGTCTGCTTGATATTGTATTGAAAGATATTGTAAAGAGAAATTGTGTCTTGGTCACCCATGAGAGGTAGAGGGTTGTAACTTTTATCACTTGTTTTGTTACAATACTCTCTATTTACTAGAGGAAATCATAAGTCTTAGTAGACCAGTTTCTGCCTAAAAGAAATGACACAAAAAATGAAGTATTAAAAAAATGTCTGACCCTGCCTATTTTCCCTTGGTTTTTTATTGCACTGAGAGTTATAATTTTTAGGGAATTTTATTTTATGTGATTTAATCTATGCAGAAAATTGTTTTGTTCATAATAAACTTGTCACTCCCAAGATCTCATTTTTAGTTCTCTTTACTGTCATCAATACAAATATCATGATGTTAGTTTAGAGAGTTTGGTATTGGATCAAATATTAATCCCCTAAATGCAATTGATATCTTTTCTAGTTTCTCATTATTTGTCTGCTTAATATTGTATTGTCATAGGAGAAATTATGTCATGATCACTCAAGAGAGTTGAATGGATAAAAGAGAATCTGCAATAAAATACATGATTGTTTACAAAACCAATGAAAATCCTTGAGATTTAACCCTTTAAACCCTAAGAGTGATCAGGATCTAATTTCTCCTTACAGTAATATTACTAAACCATTCATTAAGATCATGAGAATAAAGAAAATGATCACCAACTTAAGAATCATTGATCTTCAAATGAATTCTCCTTGTCAGTAGTAAAAGAAATTTATAGAGAAGAGTATGAAGAATTTGGATACTGATGTTAGGGTTTAAAGGGTTAAAGGTGAAACAGAAGTTCAAAACTACTTTTGTAACCTTTAGGTATGGTGCAGGGCAGTTAAAGGTGATGTGTGTTGGTGGACCAAATGTCAGAAAAGATTACCATATTGATGAGGGAGAAGAGGTAAGTTAATAAAGAACTAACAATGATTATATCATCTCCTGATATTAGTGCTTTACTGCTTAAAAAAAAAACATATGAAAGAAACAGATGAGATCTAAACACCTCCAATTCTGCTCTAACAAAATGCTATTAGCAAACTGTGCCAGACAAATTTTTTTTTTTTTTGCTGTAAAGTATGACTTCCTCTCTATGTATTATGGCAGCTATTTCAGATCCAGAAGGTTTTGTACTAGAATTGGCTAAGAAGCAACTCTTGGAGGCCTCAATTTTGATACACTATCCATAAAATTGGTTTTGAGAATAGGCTGTTTTTCTCAATTAACCCTCTAGCTCCCAAGATCTGATTGTTGACTCTCCCCTGCTACACCTTTCCCTGAAAGTGAAATACAAGAATCTGGTGTGAGATCAAGATAACAACTCCTAACTGATATGGTTGTGTATTCTTATGACCTCTTTGCAGAATATTTTATAGATTCATTAGGGAGAAATTACCCATTAATCACTTCAGGAAGTTGAAAGGTTACTCTCTTAAGGGCTGGTTGAGACATCATGCCCTATAAGAATAATCTTAGGATATTTCTTCACAATGTATTTGAAAAGCAACATTTTTAGGCAAATGAAGATTGATTGTGATCTGTAATAGAGAGTATCCTGATGTAAAATCAAATTTTCTTTACGAATTTGTAACAAAATATCTCGCTGAGCTGGAAAGGAGGATGACTGACCGTTTCTTTAATGTCTTGCTAGTTCTTTTACATGGTTAAAGGAGACATGAACTTGAGGATTATTGAGAGAGGAAAACCAAAAGATGTAATCATAAAGGAGGGAGAGGTATACGAAACTCATTTTATAAATAATGAGAACAAGTTTTTGATAAATATAATTTGATAGAAATGATATTTGATGATATTTTCTTCACAATTATTTTGTAGGTCACAGTTTTCTTGGTTAAAGGGTCTTCAAACCAATGTGATTTTTTTCTTTGTCCTTAGTTAATTATTAAAATCTTGAAAAAGGAAAGATGATGGTGACAACAGTTTAAAAATTAATTGGAAATAAAGGAAAAATTTGAAGCACAAAATATTTGGTCCTTTGTTATATTTATTGTTAAGGAAAACTTAAAGTAGTAATCTAAAGCAACATTATTGCAGTTTCTTGATCCCAAATTGGTGCTCTCTTTGCCCTGAACCATCCTAGTTTGGTTTTATCCTGCAAATTTAGAAGTTTGGAATAAATTCAATACTATTTTTTTCAGGTCTTTGTACTCCCAAGCAGGATACCACACTCGCCTCAACGGAAGGAGAACACTGTTGGATTGGTATGGTGCTAGTTGGTGCTCTTGTGTTTTTGTCTACTTTTTAGTTCAGAGTTAAACTTGTTAGTATCCCAGTCAGTCTTTGAGTTCTTTTTAAAGATGTTTCCTAACCCTTAAATTTCCAGTGATTGGGTTTGGATCCGGGAATTAGTGATAGGGAGGTTCAAAATTTGATTCACAAAACACAGAAATTTATTATATACTTTAGGTTGAGTAGGCTATGGTGTAAAATTACTCATGAGATCTTGGAAGTGAATTGGTAAATAGAGACAATATCCTGCCTTTTAGGTCATTGAAAGAGAGAGACTTCCTGAAGAAACTGATGGTCTAAGGTACGATGTGATGCACTCATGTTCAGTGCAATTAATAAAAATATAATATTGAAGAACAGCTCCCTGAAAAACCTGTTGGCTGACAGATAACTAACGAGCCACTGACAATCTACCGCCAGGTTACTAATTGGTGATATAATCTAGCATTAACATCCAAAGCAAAACTTTGACTCTACTTTATATCTACCTTAAAATGTTGAACATACTTTGCATGTGTTGTACCACTTATAAAGTGAGTTGATACCAACTGTCGGCTGTTGGTTGGCTGCTTGTTGGTGAATAGCTGAGCTTAAAACTTTCAGCCAAGGTGGAGTTGTTCTTCACAGTTACTGATAAATGCACAAGCAAAGCAACCTATGGAGTAGCATGACAATTTTGAGGGCTTTAATTTCTTTTGGATTTTGCAGATTTTCTTTGACTTGAAGTTAGTTTGGACCATCAGAAAAAAATGGCACAAAATGAAATGTCACAAAAAATTTACCATCTTTTGTCAAATTAAAAATTTTGCATACAAGTCAAGTATCAACTAGTTGAATTCTTTACTATGGGATTAATTCAAAATATCCATCTTTTAATTATCAGCCATATAGCTCCCCTATGTATTGTTCAACAAGTTGGAATCCCATTACAGCTATTCGTGCATGTCTTTTAGAGTTGTTTTCTCAGTAACAAAATCATGAATGTAAATGTATATTTATCAAAAACTTGTTCTCATGTAAAGGTATTTTTGTGACGATGGTGTGACACCTCTTTGGGAAAGATGGTTTCATTGCGAAGACCTTGGTACGCAGCTGGGACCAATCATCAAGTCGTAAGCAATAAATCAAATATATTCTGTTCCATGTACTTGAATATTCTGAACTTTGCAATGGGCCTCGCTCTTCATAGAGTCTCAGTGGCTCAGTGGTAGAGCATTAGAATGCGGAATCTGAAGGTCTAAGGTTCAATTCCTGATTGGGACTTAGAGTTTTCTCTTTGTCCCTTGCTCGCGGCAAGACCAAAAACATCTTTCTCTACTTGAATGTTGTTACTAAACAATCATTATTGTAATTGAACTGAGTGGAGTGCAGTTTAGTCTGAAATCAAATCCATGATTTCAAAATACCAAAATTGCACAACAAAGTTCAATTACCACATTGGTACTTTTTTTTGAAATTCCAAAATTCAGTCACTCCAATACATGTTATTTAGTCTGCACAAATCTTTTATTGATCAAGTATTGAGCTGGTTTGTAAAAAGTTGCAAAAATTGTCATCATTTTTCTGCAATTTGATTGGCTTTTCTAAACAAGCCTTCAAATCTGATTGGTTGTTGTATTTTAGTAAAACTGTCTCATTGACTGGGAAAAAGATGAAATGGTGTGATTTGTGAATAAATCATATGAATGATAGCCAATCAGACTGCAAAGGTTATCAATGATTTTAAAATGGATGTAATAAATGCTGTCAATTTACGTATGTGGTGCTGTGATTACAGCTTTTAAAAGTATTAAAATGCTTTTGTTGTCTGTGTATTTTCAGATACTTTTCATCAGAAGAATACAAAACAGGAGTCCCAACCTCTGGTTTGTAGAGATGATTTTTAATGGAATTTAGATAGAATTTGTTTTATTTAAAAATGTCCTGAAAAGTTTTTCTGTCTATATCTATTCAAGCCACTGGTCACCAATGCATCTAGAAATTTACTTTTGGTGAAAACAAGTTTAATCCCCAACCCACCAGTTAGCACATAGTTCTTAATTCTTGTCAATGTTCTTTGTGTAAACCAGCTCTCAAGAAACCAAATCTTTGTAATTTTATTCTTCTAAATTCACCTGGTTATCTTTTACTAATAGAAATATATTGTATGCAAAGAAAAATCTTTAAAACCATTTATTTTTGTGCTTTGCTGCAAGGCAAAAATTTTATGAATCAGACCTTTTGGTGGCCAAATTGTTCTCGTGGAGATGACAACAAATATTTTTAAATACCACTTGGCACCTTAGAGAGAAAGTTAATTTCAGAACCTGCTATAGTTTACCATGCAATAGTTGAGATGTAGAGCTGCATGAAAAATTTCCTAAGTTCATTTATTATGTTTGTTTACTAATTTTTGTTGCTTTTTTTTTGACTCTGAGAAATCCTCCTGGGGGAATGGTCAATTGGCAATTACAAGATTTAATGATTTATAATAATTTAGAGACTGATTGTTAACAATCATTGTGCCATTTTTTTTTTTTTTTGGATTGCTTAGAAAATGTTTCCAAGGACCCTCCTGTCAAAGTCGACCTTGAAACTGAAGTCAGTGAACCCTTTTCACTGAAAGAGGTACATATGTTAATTTTATTATCACAGACTCTAAACTTGGATAAAAATTTTAAACAATTGTAACATGTCTGGGAAATCTTAGTGCATTTTATGATTCAAACCTCAGAAATTATGATTTCACAGTCACTTGTACATAATATTATGTTAATTTTACTCTCACTGTGAAAATGAAGAAAGATTTCAAACAATTTTGAAAGTTTAGGGAAGCAAAAAAATTTTGGAGTTCCATAGGTTAACTAATAACACAGCAACCTTCATCACACTGAGTGGTTTTCTCCTATCTTTTAGTGGATTGCTGAACATAAAAGTGAAATTGAATGTGGAACAAAGGAGCTGTTTGGTAAAGGAGAGTTCAAGGTGAGTGCTTAACTTATGTTTTGCACTCGGTTCTTTGTTTTGGCCTTTTTTTTTCCAACCAGATTCCTCTCCTTTAAAACCCTTTGATCCATAAGAATGACAGATCTAATTTCTACTTACACTACCACCCTGAATCACACATTAAGGTAAGCATGATAAAGGAAATGATCACCAGTTTAAGAGGCATTTGATTGTCAAACAAATTCTTCTTGTCAGCACCATCAAGAAATGTATAAAGAACAGTATGGAGAATATGCATACTGATGTTAGGGTGTAAAGGGTTAAGAGACCAGTGCTTTATTTTTTATCAGTGAGAAGGTATTCACATCACTCAGATACCTTTTCGTAATAGAATATGGTGTTTTGACTTGCCTTACTCAGGGCACTTTGTGGTTTCTCATTCTTCTGGGCCATATTGTCTAGTGATATGTGCTGATACAAGCTGTGATATCAGTTAGTCTTGTCATGGGAAAGTAATGAGGACAACTTGAAGAAAAGCAAAGGTGTCTATTACAAGTGCAAAACTGCCTGTCAAGAAAACTGGTGCATTTTTTTTCATTGCAATAGCTTGTTGTGTAAAGAAGAGAAAAATCTAAAAAGTTTGTTTGTCAAATGCACTGAAATGGGCTTGTTAACGAGTTCATATTGGTCATCATTAAGTTCTATATTGGTTTACAAGGTTGGCATCAAAGAACAAAAACTATAATCTGAATGAACTTGTATTCATGTTGGGCTGCAATCATCAAAGGATGCCATGAATACTTTAACCCTTTACTCCCTAACATCAGTATGCAGATTCTCCATACTACTCCTGAGACATTTCCTAGGGTTCTGACAAGGAGAATTTTCGTATCAACAGTCAAGAGCTTCTTTAGTTGGTGATCATTTCCTTTATTCTCATGACCTTGATGTTTGATTTAGGGGTGATATTGTGAGGGAAAATTAGATGTTAATCACTCTTAGGGGTTAAAGGGTTAAGACTCACATCTGGTCTCACCTCAGTACATAAACTCTTACATAAAGTCTTACTTGTTTCTTTATTTGGTGTGATTTTATTTTCTTGTAGATAAATGTTCATGGTGAAGGGGAACAAACTGGTGAATGGCAAGGGGAAACATGGCTTTATCAATTGGTGAGTGTTCATATGTTGTTCATGTTACAGAATGTTACTTTGTGAACAAAATATCCTACATGCTTCTCATTTGAATTAATGAGCCCAAGCTTGTCTAGGAAATTTGAAGGAGTGCATAAGGAGAAGTCATCACTCAAGCCTAGCGGCCAATTCAGCGAGAACATATTCCAGTTCAGCAAGTAGGATTGTTAATACTACCCCTTGAGTGGGATGCCAGTTCATCACAAGGTTACCCTACCCCCAACTCCAGTATTTCATCAGGTTTCCCTAACAATTCATCAGTACCCATTTGTACTCCTAGGAGGAGAGAGGAAAGTGTTTTGCCCAAAAACACAACTCAATGACCCACCCAAGCCTTGAGCCTGGGCTTCTTAACCCAGAATCCAGCACGGCAACCCATAGGGGAAAATGAACAATCAGATCGTGGGAATTGAGGAGCTATTTACATTTTTTTTTCAGGAGGGAGATACAACTGTCTCATTAAACGGTGAAACGAAAAAGATTTCCAAAGATGATGTTCTTCTCATTCCATCGGGTGCTAAGTGAGTAACATAACTTTTTTACTATTTTTCTTTTGCCTTTTTATTTCTTATTGGCCCAGTTAATTTATATTTGTGAGTTAATTGCATTTATCACTTTATCAATTTCACACACTTGTATTGCTTATTTTCTTACATATTTGCAAGATATTCCTTTGACCCACAGATAGCAAATGCTAATCGAGGCGGGTCATTTATTTATTTTCTCTTTACTGACTTAATTAAATTACACTGGAAATAAAATGGAAATGAAGAACTATACCATAAAAGGACAAAAAGATACACAAGAAAAGAAAAAAGGAAAATCACATATGTTTATTGTAAAGGAGAAAAAAATCCTGGAGTTTCTAGGTGTACGAAAAATATTGTCGAGCTGGTTCAATTTGATTCAGTTTTGCTGTGTTTGAATTTTAGCATTTTTTCAAGATATGTTTTCCTTGGAAACTCTTTATCAATTCAGTGAGTAATATTTTTTTTCATTTTGACCTGCAGGTACACTGTGAAAAGATCCAAAGGCTCAATTGGTCTGAGTGTTGTTATGGACCCAATGGCTAACAAGTAAAAACATGCTTGGCTGTTGTATAGAGGAAGAATTCAAAAGAATGTCTTAACCCTTTACACTCTGATATCAGTATGCAAGTTCTCTACACTCTTCTCTATACATTTCCTAAGGTACTTTAGATGAGAATCTGTCTAATAATCAAAACCTTCTTTAGTTTGCAATCATTTGGCATGACCATATTGTTTGATTTAGTGGTGAATAGAGAAATGAAATGTTTATTACTTATAGGACTTGATGGGTAGAGATGCTTCACCAATTCTCTCTTCTCAAAACTCATTGTGATCTTTTGACTCACGAGTGAATAGACAGATAATACGAATAACGAAGAAAATCAACCTGGGGATATTTTTTTTAAAAAAACAAAATTCTGTTTACCTCGCATTGAAGAAATGTTTGGTATTAGTGACGAGAATTTGATATCAGATATCAAGGGGGAAGATAGTTAGGATAAAGTATTGTGTAGCAATGTAAGGTATTGGTGAGGAGAATTTAATATCAGATCTCAAGGGTCAGGAGTTTAGATAAAAATATTGCGTAGCAATTTAAGGTATTAGTAAAGATAATTTGATATCTATTGGTCGCCACACATTACCTATTGAATAAGTACGAGAGTTTAGTCTTGTTTAAAGGTAACACCATCTGGATGATGAATTTGTTTTCTCTCGTTACTTTTTCAGGGAGTGATGTTTTGATATTGTAGGGAGAAATTTCAGGTTAATGATCTCTGGGAGTTGAAGGAGATCCGGTTCCCAGAACTCAAACGTCAAACGCTTGAGTAGAACTTAAGAATAACTTTTTTGCTGAGGGTTGAAGAAATGAAAATGAAAGGGTGGGAAACGGTTTAACTGACTTTTCAAGGGAAAGTAATTTTTAAGGATGCCTCAATACAAGAGGGACCTGCTGTTTATTATAAAGCAGTCAAATTCAACTCAACTCAGACTCAACCCCTGGGAAAACTTTTTTGAAGGGTTCTTTTTTACATATATTTAAATGGATCATACTTTTGTTATGAACAAGATAAACCTACTGTTTACTCGGGTCCTAAATAGAGTGCCAAAGTTTTGAAGAATTTTTTTTAACTTTGAGTTATATTTGACTACTGTAACATTGTTAAAAAAAAAAAAAAATGGAAATGATTCAGTTATTCCTTGTTGGATTATGTTGTACCACCCTGAAGGATCAGTTGCGACGCGTTGTAAATGTGAGTGCTTTTAGATTAATCCAGTATCGTAAAAGCAAAACAAAAGTTCTCATATTTGCGAATCAGAGCGCGGGAGAATATCACCAGGAACCAATGAGAACTCAAGGGCAGCAAAACACGATTGACCAACTCGCTAGTGATTTTGGTTTGAATCTGATTGGTTGAGAAAGTGGCGCGAAATATCCAGACCAATCACATAGGAGTAAGGCAAAATCAAAGTGTTCCTGGATTACTTTTGACTTTGAACACTTTTGCTAAATTTTCTGTTACCACTTTCGTTTACTCACTTCTCTTCCGTATGGCCCAATAATTGTTAGGCTGTTCTTTTGCGAAATTTGCATCGTTAATTTACCTCCACGGTTTCTATGTTAATTTCAGTGGGCGTATGAAATGGTAAATCTTCTGTTTTCTATAATTGTGACATGTCACGTGCGGAGGCTGACGAATCCTCTTACTTTGGAACGAAATGAGTTGGGAAGAACTGACCGTTGAAATGAGTAATTATAGTGTGCGAATATCCGCGAGATAATAGCGCGTTTGATATTCCCAAGAGCTTAACATCAAAGGAGTTGAACCCTGGTTTTATCATAGGTGGATGTCTTAAATTAGCTCTGGTTTAATTGTTAAACTGAAGAAATGTAAAATGGTTTCCGTGTTTACATAGCCTGATGTAAACACGCGGGAGGTTGGGAGAACACGAGATAAGCGTAGGAAACCACGACGCGAAGCGGAGTGGTTTCCAGCTTCTCGAGTGTTCTCCCAACCTCCCAAGTGTTTACATCAGGCTATGTAAACACGGAAACCATTTTACATTTCTTTTATAAAATAACTAATGAAAGAGGAACGAAAACCGTGTTTACATACGCTCATGTAAAATGGTTTTATGGCCAATCAGAGCGTGCGTACTATTTGAATTATTTTATAAAATGTATTAAAACACTGGTAAAGAACGTGAATTGTGATATGTCACGTGCGGGTGACTAAACAGTGATATCGAACGAACTTGTTTTGCTTTCGAAGTCCATCAGCGTGTCGAAGCCGTTCCGTGTGATTTGAAATCATGTTTCAAACCTTTAATACAAATGCTAGAGCTAGAAACAGTTTCCAACTATCCTCTTCTCTTCTGTTCACACTGTGCAGATAATACTGTTTTCCTTTTCCCTTTGTGGCGTGCCTGCACAGCGCTTAGGCCTCGATGAAGGGGGAGAAACTCCATCCGTAACCAGAACAGTGGAACAACGTAGTATATAATTTATGGGAGAATCCCCAAGTTTTAAAAGACATCGACTCCAAATGTTCCTCGACTCGTTGCTTTCTGGTCTAGTTTAATCTAGTTTTTGTGTGTATAATCGACTTACGCCTGTTTTTATGCTTAGCGAGCTTGCGGGCAAGAAAAGACGCCATATGAAAATTTGAAATTCTTAATTCGGCTTGAAAAGCTTCAAAAGTGATGATAACGGAAAAGCAAGAGTCATCTACGGAGAATAGGCAGGGGCCTAGTAACAAACGAAAGATCAAGTCAAATCGAAGTTTTGAGACAGCGCGTGATGTGTTGTGTCGAAGGGCGTTCGTTGTGGGTCATAACTTCCAAAGAGCTGACTTTGTAAAGGTTTGTTTCAAGGTGAAAAAAAAATCGACATTACCTAAAGGAATTCAAGAATGAAACTAATTTTTTCCTGTGTACCTGTCAACCTTACAAGTCGAAAATTATTTGATCGTAGGATGATATGACTCTGATGTAGAACATATTGATTCATTTTGTGGAACAAATTCACTCTCATTTGGAAAGATACGACTTCGAGTGAACTGACCGTGGAAAGGGTGATCGGATACCGCGATTATCAGAAAGGGTAAGTGCCTTAATTTGCTTAAGAGCCTAAGATCAAAAGAGCCGAACCCTAGATTTATCATGGGTGGATCTCATAGAAATTCGTTTTATATTGTCTCTGGTTTAATTGTTAAACAAGTTTTAAGACATTGGTTAAATGAACCATTTCAGAAGCGTCAAAAAACACATACGTCACAGTGCAGCCTTTCACTCAACATCAGTGGACCTTGAACAAGGGATAATTTCGAACGAAGAATGGCTGCACGAAACCTTTATAGCTGCTAATACTTTGCTTAGGTCGACTGGAAGCTTCAGAATTATTTAAAATCATTATTACGAACTTGAACTGAGTGACAAATATATCGGGATTTGCCTTTATACAAACAAAGCTCTTTCTGGGGGTGAAGAAACAGATGATCACGACGCAAAAAAAAACACGCTATGTCACTACCACTGGACTCTACAAAACGAATTCGTTTTTCTTCCTTGTAAAGCAGTAAAGATGAAAAAGCGAAACTCTTGCGCTGGTTCTTTCGACGAAATAACCGGAGGACAAAGATCGACGAATATTGCGTGATAAGTGTTCGGTGATTTTGTACCACGTAATAAAAAATAGCCAATAGAAGCGTGCAAAATTAATGGAAGGGCTCGTTAGGTTGTTAGTTAGAAATGGTAATCCTAAGATGATGATAAATAACTCCTTCAGCGGGCGCATTGCTTTATTAGAAGAATCGATACCACTACTGAAATTAGGGCTTAGTGATTCAATAAACTGATGACCACACGGGCCCAAAGGATTGAATGGACCAATTCCTTCAGGTTTTCCAAAATGTAAAGAAAGCCGACCTCTTTCTGAGAACTTTAATTATACAAAAAAAAGATCAGGATAAAAACTAAAATTTGCTTCTAGGATAACTTAAAATTAATTTACTCTCCGCAGGCTTTCACCAAAAATCCGTTGTCCCTTTTTAAAAAAGGAAGGCTTGCAAACTTTCCCTCGATTGTCACGTTTGTTTGCGAAGGATTTTTTCATTTGAGATGACTTTCAACAATTTCAAATAATTTCGAACTATCAACTGTTACCCCTCGGAGAAGAAGACACTTCTCCCCTCAGTAAGAAAACAATTGCCTTTCATTCTGTCTTTGCATGCATGAAACATTGTGTCTATCGCAATGCAGACAAGAGCTGGAAAGGAGTATTTGCATAATCGGTTGTGTCGAGTTAATTCTACAAACCATTGATTTTCGTCAGAAAGATTTCACTGTGTATCAGTGAACTCCATTTAAAGTCACTAAAGATTAACCCACCCCAACAAAGATTTTCGACCTTGTTATCAAGGTGAACAGCGCCCCTGATTTACATTAAAATGATTCCGTCGTAAATGATTGAATCCCCCAGGGAAGAGAGTGGAACAGGTAGTTCTCTCGTCAGTATGAAGACAATTGACTTTCATTCTTTCATTCTGTCTTTGCATACATGAAATTCTGTATATCGTTATACAGATAAGTGCTGGAGATCAGTATTTGCGCATTCGGTTGTGACGAGTGACTGCTACAAGCCACTGACTTTTACCATAAATATTCCTCTACGTTCACTGAACTTTAACAAAAGATCACCCATGAAATATAAGTTAACCTGGCTCTGCTGTCATTGCTAACATGGTAATGGAAGACGTGGAACAAAGGGCCTTAGCCACCTCACCGGTTAAACCCTTTTTCTGGAAACGATATGTCGATGATGTTATTTCTGCGGTATCCGGAAATGATATGCACCTCCTGTCGCATTTGAATTCAGTAGAGCCTTCGATCCAATTCACCCTTGAGCGTGAAAAGGATAGACATTTGCCCTTTCTTGATTTAAATGTGCATCAAACCATGTCTGAAGGTTAATAGGGTCGTAAATCATAGCACCTCTTTAATTTAATACTCCCGAGGGAAGGGAGGAATTTAATGAACACGAAAATGACCCAAGAATTCCGCCTTTTTAAGAATGTGCGTAGTGAATGGAAAGTCACTCTGCTTGAGTACTTCGAAGAGGAAACATCTCCAATATTTCAGCCTGCTCAGAGGTAAGTTCTCCACTAATCGTCGGCGATTTTTGCAACTTTCGATGGCGCGGCTCATATCAATTCTCTCTTATAATTTTGTTCAATTACAGTTTTTTTTTCGTAGTTAGTTTGATTAGGCCGAGATTTTCTTTCTCAAGTTCATCGCCAAATATCCTACCCCAAAAATTAAAAACGCGTACAAATCATACATTTTCCTTTGCCATTAGCCATCCATTGCTTATGGTGATGGTTCAGAGAATTTAGTATCAAATTGCAGCACTCTTCAAGTGGATATATTTTTTTTGTTTTCACCATTTATCAGCTCGATATTTAAAGTACTGATATTGTAAAGAAAAATCGATCCATCTTTTCCACTTCTGGGAGTCAAGGATGGAATGAAAGATCATTCCTACAATAAGTAAAGCAAATTTGGATTCTATCGAAGAGGTCTAAAATAAATTAGGGCATGGAAAGCGAATCATTTGGAGCAGTCTCACGCGACATCAGCGCGAGGGGCGAGTCTCACACTCGCGTCAAACATGAGTCACACACACACTTCACCCCCACCCTACGCTCGTTTACGGTCAGCTACATATGCAAATTTTAAATGCGACCAGTGCGGTATAAAGCTATATCCAAATGCCTAATGACGTGTTTTTTTCTGACAAAATATAGATCAGATTTTCCATTGTTTTTACTTGAGATTCAATCACCCTCTTTCTGTTCTATTCTTCTCTTATTTGAGTAACATGCACACGATGGTTTCTTTCTAAAAGGTTCTGGTTTTACCATGGTGATCTTCGATGCATAATGGAAAGCACTCATCCAAATCATTTACTGAACTCAACTAATCTACTCGTGTCAAACCGTCCGTGGAACAAATTAAAAATTCCTGAATCGAATTAAAAGTTAATTAGACCTTAATGCCGGTGCCAGAAACAACTGGCACTAGAAGATCGAAATAATAATAATTGCTCGAGACTAACCATCGTTGTTCTTTGCCCATTTCTAGACTCCAACAATCCGTCAAGTAAAAATATATTCTTGGGTATTATTACCGTGTAACTGACTTAAGACATAATTACCGTTTAAACATGAATCATGACTCTTGGGCACACTGGAGGCAAACCTGATGTCTGAGAAGGAAGTCACTCTATTTCTTTCGTTGTGAACATGAACTTCAAGAGTGATAAACTCAAAACGAACGTGATTTCGAACATTTTTGTTGTTGTTTACAGGACCCTTAAGAATGGCTCAAACTGGATTGATTCTTGTTCCTTTACTCTTGTTGTCCATCGCGATTCTAGGTAAGATTTCCTAATATGCAAATCTGTAAATCAAAACCTGGAACATTTTATAGTGTAGTGGACAAGGGACGGAAGCCTGGGAAAATTAGAGCCCGGAGGAGTACTGGGATGAGAGAGGAAAAGGAAGGAATCGGAAAGAATGCGACAGAAACCACATCATCACAAGAGAGATACCCCAACACTAGCACCACTACTGTAAGACCCAAATTCCCCGATCTTCTTGTCGTTAATGAATTCGTTTTCTTAATTATTATCTTAGTGCAGAGCAGATCTGCAGAAATCTGTGACTCAGAGTCAGAAATCCAGCACCTTGCCACAAAAACCCCACCTACTACAAGAGCCGCATGGTCAATAACAGTGCAAATAACAACGGGTTACCCCAATGACCCGCACAGGAAAACACAATGTAGATACCGATGCGAAACCTTTTGCAGGAGTTCAGCCAAATGGAGAGATTGCATAGCCTTTGCATCGCAGGTTAAAGCTGATTTCAACTCAGATTGCCTTTGCTGGGGATACAAATCTCTGCCCTCCTTTGGATCTGATGTTTCAATTGGAGAGGCCACTTACTTAAATGGTTGGTGTGTATCAGAATTTTTCAGCAATGGGATGACGTTTTAAGTGCCCAGACTCCAGTCCTCTCCGCTCCGAAGACATTTAACAAGGCTTCTTGGCCGCCAGCTTAGTCAAGTGTCTAACTTAAGTGCAGCATGTGATTCGTTTAATAAATTTGTAATAATAATCGAGTTGGGAATTGATTAGATCTGTCTTTGTTCTGCATCACTGTTTATTTAGTAAGGCTGCTTGTCAAGATAAACAGAGTTCAAGTCTACAATATAATGCTGGTGTGTTATCTCACTTGGTACCTAAACTGGGAAAGGTTACGTAGGAATTAGGTGCGGACTAAAATGAATAATCGACTGATAACTGAAACTTGTTTGTCTCAGTCTCTTAACAAAGACTGGGAATTGCTATAGTGGACTCAAATAGTCCAACATTGAAAACTAAGCACAAAAATACAACTTTCCCAAAAATCCTTGAAAAGAAACCACATTCTTAACTAATGGAAATCAAATTTCCTTGATTTTCTCTGTTTGTGGAAAATTTAACCAAACCTTATCTTATGTGAGAGATTTAGTAAACTGTACCGCAACCAAGGATGTTTGTTTCTAATACAGGAGAGTTGTTATGTATGTATTTACGTGAGTAATATTTTAAAAATACCCTGCACTTCCAATGATCATCATCCTCAGTCCAAGAGGCGAAGCCACAGTGACAACTGATGGGTTCTTGGCATACAACTTCACACATTTTTTCATGACTGAAATTCCATTCCTAAAGTATTCATCAATGTTCCCTGCAAACACCTGATTTTTCATTCTTAATTCTCCATTCTTCATTCTACATTGCGCATACCCCATTCCCAATTCCTGACTCTCTATTCCCAATTCTTCGTTCTCTATTCTCCATTAACCATTTCCCACCGCTCATTCTCCGTTTCCCATTCTCCATTTCCCATTCTCCGTTTCCCATTCTCCATTTCCCACCCTCCATTTCCCATTCTCCACTTCTCATTCTCCATTTCCCACCCTCCATTTCCCATTCTCCATATCTCTTTCAGTCACATTCCTCCATAACCATTGGTAACTCGCGTAACTCTGGTTTGTGTCAAGCAATAAAGGCACAACCACCTCCCTTTGGTTCTCCGTGAGAAACCAGCCTCTCAAACAGAATTTAGTGAACAGTTGGTGAATTCCCACCAACTCATTAACAAGACGTGAATTGTGTCACTGACTGATTTACATCAGGATGATTTTGTGGCAATTATGCACCCATTTTCGGGAAAAAGGAAGAACCAAATAAAAGCTGAAACAACTCAAGGATTTACATGAGAAATAAATTACCCTGTGTGTCAAAGAGTTCGTACGAAGAAATACGCAGTCGATAGAAATTCTATTTTAGTGAGACGAGACTTGTAGACTAAAAAAACTGTAAATGAAAAAAACCGCTTAAAAAACTATAAAATTAAGTCGCAAGTTTACCATGAGGCATTCTGTCTGTTCTAATGCATATCAAAAGTATTCAAACTCATGTTTTCGCAATTTTCTGAAGAAGGTACGCATTTTAGTGGCAAGCCTATTCCGCGCCTAGAATCTCGTTTAAATAAAAAAAATGAGATTGGACCGGTGTTTTTGTTCTAACTGTTTTAATGCACAACATTCATAATTTTTTACTCTCATACGTGCAAAAAGCGTTCTTCACTGTCTGGATTGTGCGCTCATCAGTTATATGTATGGTGGGTTAATTTTTGACATGATGATTTCAGTGAACTAAAAAAAATTGTATTCATTGTGCTGTGCGGAGAAAATAACTTAGAGACAATACTAAGAATAAATCTATGAACGAAACTAATTTAAAAAATGCTAAAACTAGGATAAAGGATGCTGGCATTGTCCACGTTTTGTTTTCAAGGAAAACGTAAGTTTGTCTAGTTTTCTAGCTGCAAGGGGCGAAAGAGGCCAGATGGAATTAAAAGCCATCTTTTGATTATGCTAATCACAGAACGGATCCTTGATCTCAGACAAATAGGCGTCCATACGATAATCAACCGACAGAAAAATCATTTGAAGATGGTCTAAAAAATTTTCCCAAACAGAACTGAAAAGGAAGAATGTTGTTGTATCAACGCATTCACCTCGGCAGTAATGATAGAAATATTTTCGACCGATAGGCTCAGAGTTCTTCGACTTTTTCCAGTGATGCACTTCCTCTCAAAGCGAATAATTATGTTTCCAATAATTGATTATGTCTACTTAACCAATCAAGAGAGCCTTCATCGGAAGCCTTTTTTCACCTGGTGTTATTGTTTTAGTTCTCGTATGAAGAGTCGTGTCGCATGTGCGGTGGCTTTTGCCACGCTACGTGACGCGTAAGGGTCTATGTTTGTTTCCAGAAGATTTACCTTTAAAGTGATTGATCCTAAAAATCCTCAGCTTATCCTGAAGGTGATCACACTGGGATACCTGAAAGCCCCTTTGTGAACGTTTGAGGTGAGACATTTTGCTATGGCTTCACAATAGATTAACTGATGTTTTCGTTTTAGCACTCAGTTGTTTGGTGAGCATAAGAGAGTTTGATCCTGACGTCGACAACAACAGCAAATAGAAAAAAAAAATGAACTCTAGTTTCACTCCTCTTCTTATAATCCGCCGTCGGTCAACTCTTTTGGAAATATTGCAAAAAAAGTATCTCGTTCACGGTAAAGCAGATGTCTTCATTTTCAAATATGAAAACGGCTGAAAGCAGACGACAAGAAGTTTAATTTTTGTCACGCTTTTTCCGTCCGCCGTAAGCGTTATGCATAACCTTTTCAGTCCTTCTAAAGTTTGTTCAAAGAAACGATAATTCGTTCATCAGTGTTGAAGACTAAAATAAAAAATGGAGCTTTCTGGAGTATACGACGTTTTTCTTCGAAGTAAACGCGTATTATGAAACAGAACAGATCAGACTTTCGACACTCGTATTTAATCGAAGAGTTCGTGTATCATCGATGGTAAGAGAGACAATTTCACAAAGTTATGTGAAAGAAACCAATGGTTTAAAGTTTTAATCACTGTTTTTTTTCTCTGCAGAAATAATTTTGCATTATTTAAAAATGTTCTAGACAATGTTTCAAATGGTGTAATTAAACAGGGAGTTATATGATGACGATTTCGACAATAATAGCAAACTATCAAGTGAAGCAAAGATTGCTTTTCCTAATTTATTTATTCCAGGCCGTGGCCTAAGAATGCGAAGACGAGGCAGAAAGATTGAATACTCAGTGTTATTTCCTCTGCGGTGCCTTTTCCGCCTGTCAAATATGCAAAACTGTCATATGAACTATAGAAAATACGAAGTTCATTCGGTAAATAGAAATATATAAGCTTGAATCGAATTCAATATTCCTTGAAAGAGAATTTAGCGGTTTTTCTATCTTAAGTTGGTTACTCATGACCATTCCTCACTGAAATATATTTTGTAAAGTAGAAGGGTAGAAAAAAGTAGATCATATATGATTAAAACAACAAACTGTATATAAATAAGCGAGTAATATTTCATTCATTCGCTCAAACTCATTTGTCAGAAGTTTTCTTTTAAACAATGCAGAAGTGCTGTTTTGTTTAAAAAGTAATGTAATTGAGCAAACAACTCTTCTGGTTTCTTCTATTAGTACATGTTTTGTCCGATAAATTGATGTTTTCTTATTTTTCTGCAATTTCAACAGTGAGAGCGAGTTTTTAAACCCAGCTGCCTAGCTGCGATATTGTGTTGTTCAACGATATGTTCCAGGCTCCCGGTCTCACTCTCTCTCCGGAGACGAGCGAAATGAAGAAGCAAAACAATGCCCAGCGGTTGTCGGGAAACGGCAGCAGCATTTTTCTCGCCATTTTTTGCCCGCCTGCTTTTCCGCTTGTTTACGCTGACCGTGTGTCTGGCATTAGCCGTGTTTCTCAAAAAGTGACGTTCGTTAACCGTGTCTGTTCTCTCAACCAGGTTTGGCTTCATAACGTCGGTAAGCATGCACAATACTGTCGGCATAGTCCTCTTGACAACCGTTGTTATTCTCTCCAACCAGGAACAGGTGTTAGGTTTGTACTACAAGCGCTTTATACATTTTTACAAAGTACTACGTCCATAGCTTAAATAATTCAGTACCTTTCTTTATGTGCATCTCAGTTTACTGAGAGAAATCTTCGGCAATAAAGCACCGGCTGAAAGCTACATCAGACAGCTGGTATACTGAATTATATGCTCATTGCTTTCTATATCAAGCGATAGGAGAACTCGCTTCTTATGGTCGAGAAATAGCTCACAGAACTGATGTTACTTTTTTGCTTTTTAAATCATTCGGGGGCAATCGTGAGGTGAGACGTTAGTCGCGCGCGAGGGGTAGAACGCGTAAAAGACGCACTCTTCGCGTTGCGCTCCTCTTGCCCTCGAAAACCGCCAGAAAAAAACACAAAACAATAAAACGCGTAATCTGCAGGAAAAAGGATAAACAGAAAGACAAACAGGAAAGATAGTTCAACACATCAGTCGTTTCATTTTTCTGATAGTTCCTAAGTCTTGGTCATAACTAACTTACACAAAACTTTTATCATGTGTGCTCAGCAATTCTTATTTATGGCTTTTCGGTCAACATTTTCATAGAACCCGAGTGTGGTGCCAGGTATATCTCAAACGAAATTGAGGCTAAGCGGATCGTTGGAGGCCAGATCAGTTCACCCGGGGCGTGGCCCTGGCAGGTAGCTCTACTGCAGAACAACACACAGACGTGTGGAGGCTCGCTTGTTTCCCCAGAGTGGGTTGTCTCCGCTTCACATTGTTTTGTGGGTAAGTTTTAATGTATTATCATAAAGTGGCGCATGTTCAGCGGGCAGTTCCATTTAAAAACGCACGCGCGAGCTCATCCAACTTCCTAACACGAACAGCCTCATTGCTTATAAATTTGTTCAAGAATACTCAATTACGTGGAAAAAAAATTAGAAATACAACGACCTAATTGAAAACAATTTCAAATTAGGTATTAGTTAAAGCTCTGCTGATCCCAGCGCGCACTGACCCAGAAAATTTTGTTTTTCTTCAACTGAGTAGAAATCAAGAACAAGATACTCCCAAGCACTTTTCCAGAAAAATAATTCTTCATTTCTCCCAGCGAGAGTGAAGGGTTTTTCTAGCAGAGAAATAGGATTTCGATCAAATTTGAGAGGAATTTTTAAATTTGCTTCCCTTTGTTTCTCAGAATGCAATTTATTTTCCTTGTTTGTTATTGTTCGGCTTGCGCATTCTTGCGGGGTATATATCGTACATGTTCCCAAACAACAGAAAGTCAAAGTATCCTTGATACATAAGCAACCTCATACCTTACACTTCCTGGTTACAGGTTCTGGATTGTCCAAGAATCCCAACCACTGGACAGTAACCTTAGGTGAACATCACCTAAAAAATGAGGACTGGTTTGAGCAAGCTAGAGAAGTGAAAGCAATTTACCTTCATCCGCAGTATAAAACCTCTGCCAACAAAGTTAGTGATAATAAATTGAAGTCAATCCCACCGGATTACGACGTTGGTGAGTGAATTTATTCACGCGAACATTTTTTGTCAACTTCACTTTAACAAGAACTGATTATTCATAATCATTGAACTGTCTTGTATTGATTTGCCACTGCTTAGCAAATAGGACACAGAACATTCGCACTTGTGGGAGGTTGCTCAGTTGCTTTTCACGTGATGAGGCCTGTGAGTAGGCCCTTGTCATTAGCGCTCCAGGACGCCCTCCTCCCCTCCCCCCCCCCCTTAAAAAAAGGAAAGATTAGAGATGAGTCTAGTAAAGGCAAGATGAAACCTTTTAGTAGGCTCTTGTTGGTAACGCTCCAGGATGTCCCCCTTCCCCCCCAAGGGAAGAGTAGAGGCGAGTCGTGGAGAGGCTTTCCGGAAGTCTGGCACTAATAATAAGGGCCAGACCCCTTGCCGACCTCTTGCTGACTCGTTTTGGTCGAGGCCTGGTACCTTCTGGGCGAAGAAACTCTCAGGCTGAAGCGCTGATGTGGGGGATTAACAGGATGTGGATGAGTTTTAGGGACATTGTCATAGACACCTATCTGAATAGCAGAAATTACCACCTATTTATCGATCAACCGAACTGATCATTTTTCTATCTTGTTTTGCAGCTGTCTTGCATCTTAAAACTCCCGCCATTTTAGACAACTTTGTGTTCCCGATCTGCCTCCTTCCTCCAGGCTTCAAGTTCCCTGTAGGTAAGGAGTGTTATGTTAGTGGCTGGGGCCACACTCAGTGGAGAGGACCTAAGCCAGACATTCTGAGGGAGGCGAGGGTAAAACTTGTACATCCGGACAAATGCAACTCAGAGGAATCCTACAACGGAGCCATACACAACAGAGCACTGTGTGCTGGATTCGAGAAAGGTGGAGTCGACGCATGCCAGTATGACAGCGGTGGACCGCTGGCCTGTGAAGAAGAAGGGCTCTGGTATCTGACTGGGGTGGTTTCCTGGGGACATAAATGTGGTGACCCTCACAAGTATGGGGTGTACGCTGACATGGAAGTGATGACAGACTGGGTCAGAGAAATCATCAGTCAAGCAGAGAGTAAAAATTAACTAAACTATCAAAAGAATGTAGAGTCAATTAGGTTATAATTAATTTTCAAATTTAGAATAAAAAAGTTGAAATAAACAGCTAGAAAGAAAATGTGAAACCTAAAATCTGACTGAAGTTGTTACACCATGGAGTTGCATTCTCTCTTGCACGGACTGGACGGGCGTGGCTGTTTTTGGGCATGGGGAGGGAAAGGAAGGGAACAGTGCTTTGAAAAGATTACTCTTAGAAAGGCACAGGAATAATTATCACGTGAAGCGAAATTGATCACCAGAATATTGAGCTCAGTCCAAGCAGCTCACCATGCTAAACCAGCTGACCCATGCAAAAGAAGTGGTGCAAGGTACGGTGAACAGAAAAATGCATCAAGTGCAAGCGACATTCAGAATGAAATTGGACTAAAAGGTTTCAGCATCCTGACGCTAAAGAAATGGAAAAGCGCTAATTCAAATTATTTACTGCGCTCAATTAATCTGCTCGTGTCAAACTGTCTGTGGAACAAATTAAAAACTCCTGGATCGAATTAAAAGTTAATTAACCTTAATGCCGGTGCCAAAAGCAACTGGCACTAGAAGATCGAAATAATGATAATAGAACGAGACTAACCATCGTTATTCTTTGCCCATTTCTAAACTTCAACCATCCTCCAAGTGAAAAAAGTTATTCCAGATGACTGCCTTTTCATCATTACTATTATTACATAAGATAAGATTTTTTTGCCCCATGTCCAGAAGTTTCTTAAACGATTTGTGAACGGTCGATTACCAAACTCATGAAGACAGGAAAAATTTTGTTCCGTTTACAGACTTGCCAAGGTGAAACACTCATTTACTCTTATACCCTTATACTGGTATACTTTTATTGGATCATGGCAATCTTGCGAATTGAACTTTACAGTTAACCTGAAAAAGCTATTTCTTACCTTTTATCTTTTGCGATTAGATTCTTTCGCGGAGCACATAGTACTTGTTTTAGTTTCTCTCGTTTCCTTTTTGTGGCTTTGTAGCTAAGCTAACATCCAATCACGCTAAATAAATGCCAGGAGAGACAGCTTTTTAGCATAATCCATGGATGATATGACGGAACGTTAAAGCCCTCAAAGGAATATAATGATATTTAGAGAGACACAATGTTTAATACCCTGCCTTTCTAGCCAAGTCACACAAAAATTTACTTGAATTTCATTTAAAACTTAATTACAAGAGGCATAGTTCTTTTTGACTCGTTTGGCAGGGAAGCTCAATCGTTTCAAAGCTCTGATGTGGCGCGTCTTCCTCATTCAGATCGGGGCTTAGGAAGTCTTGGTAAAAAGTCATTTCGGGTATTATTACCTTGTAACTGACTAAAGACATAATGACCGTTTAAACACGAATCATGATTCTTGGACACACAGGAGGCAATCCTGATGTCTGAAATGGAAGTCACTCCATTTCCATCGTTGCAAACATGAACTTCAAGAGTGATAAGCTCGAAATGACCAAAATCTCGAAATTCTTTTCTTGTTTGTTTACAGGACCCTGAAGAATGGCTCAAACTGGATTGATTCTTGTTCCTTTACTCTTGTTGTCATTCGCGATTCTCGGTAAGATTTCCCAATGTGCAAATCTGTAAATCAAAACCTTCTACATGTTATAGCTGCGGTGGTGGACAGGGGACAGAAGCCTGGGAGAATTTGAGCCCGGAGGAGTACTGGGGATTAGAAAGGAAAAAAGAAGGAGTCGGAAAGAATGAGACCAAAACCACATCATCACAAGAGGGATACCTCAACACCAGCACCACTTCTGTGAGACCCAAATCCCCTATCTTCTTGTCGTTAACGAATTCGTTTTCTTAATTATTATCTTAGTACAGAGCAGATCTGCAGAAATCTGTGACTCGAGTTGGAAATCCAGCACCTTTCCACAACCGCTAGACCTATAGGACCCGCATGGTCAGAAATAGTGCAAATAGCAACGGGTTACCCCAGTGCCAGTACAGGAAAACACAATGTAGAAACCGATGAGAAACGTTTTGCAAGAGCTCAGCCAAATGGAAAGATTGCATAGCATTTGCATCGCAGGTTACAGCTGGTTACAGCTCAAGTTGCCTTTGCTGGGGATACAAATCTCTGCCCTCCTTCGGGCCTGACGTTACAATTAGAGGCACCTCTTATTTAAATGATTGGTGCGTAGCGGAATTTTTCAGCAATGGGATGACGTTTTAAGTGCCTGGACCTCAGTCCTCTCTGCTCCGAAGACGTTTGACAAGGATCTTGGCCGCCAGCTTAGTCAAGTGTATGACTTAGGTGCAACATGTGATTCGTTTAATAAATTTGTAATAGCAATCGAGTTGGGAATTGATTAGATTTGTCTTTGTTCTGCATCATCGTTAATTTAGTAAGGCTACCTGTTTAAGTTTAGAATATAATGCTGGTGCGTTATCTCACTTGGTACCTGAACTGGGGGAGGTTACGTAGGAATAAGGTGCGGACTTAAAAAGGAATAATCGACCGACTTACTGCTTGACTGAGTGAGCGATCTGCTGTTTGACAACCAAACTAACCAACCGGATGACCGACTGACTGATTGATTGACTGAACGACTCGTTGACTAACTGTGTGATTAATCGATTGATTCATTGATGCATGGGGGTTGACTGACTGAGTCAGTGAGTCATTGACCTACCGATCGAATGATTGACTGACTCGTTGACTAATGATTAATCGATTGTTTGTATGGTAAAACTAGTTTATCTGATTAAACGTTTGATCGAGTTGTGCAATGTTACCTTCGATGATGTACCAGTGTTCGTATGGGTGATAGATGTTTGTTTCGAAGGGAACGTCACACGAAGTTCTGTTAGTTAACACAAACAGATTCGTAAGAACTTTCGTATTTCGTTATAGACGACAAGACACTTGCGTAAAGTTTTTTAACACTGGAAAAGTTTCGAATTAAAATATTTTGTTGCATATTGATAATTTCATTTTCTGAGTCTGCTGAAATATGATCGCATTAGCTTCCTCCATGATAGTACAATCTTGGGCCATTGCGCAAGTCCAAACAGCATTTCTGCTCGCATTTGCAAATGTGTTACCTCACCACGAATCACCGTACGTTAAGGCAGCCCTCTTGCACTTATATCTGGAATCACGTGGGGATCAGTCTAGGTCGCGTGTACAATTGGGTGTAGCAAGATGCTTGCTTGTTCTCAAATTGCGCTCTATTGGCCCCTTGGGGTGTTTTCCTTCGTCGCTCTAACACGCATGAGCAACCATTCATTCATCCTCGTCACCAGTAACAAGCATATGAACCTGGCTTTCAGAGGAGATCATGCGACTACAGCGTCGCGAACCCACCACTCTAGCCAGACGCAGCGCATTAGACTTTGTGTATAACACAGTACAATTAACAGGATTCATCTGAGGCTTCAACCGATTGCTCCTTGTATCCATGAAATTTAGAATCTCCGTGTAGAACGTAGAGTAGTGCGGGAGTTCGTAGAAAATGATATTCCTGACTCCTCGAATGCGATACCTAGAAAAAAATGTTTTCGGTGTTAACCCTTTACATCCTAACATCAGTACGTATTTTCTCCGCACTGTTCTCTATACATTTCCCAAGGTGCTGACAGGGAGAATTTGTTTAATAATCAAGAGCTTCTTAAGTTGGTGACCGTTTCCTTAATTTTCATGACCTCCATGACTGATTCAAGGGTGATATTGTAAGGAGAAAACAGATGCTAGTCACTCTTGGGGGTTAATGGGTTAACTATTGTTCACAATTTAATAAAGGAAGCGAATGGGTGGAAAAGAAAATGAGATGAAACTGAGAATGAGAAAATGAGAAAACCATGTTTTAGGTAAGTTTTGGCTTCTCTACCCTCAATCGAAAAGCAATCTCTCCTTTTATTCTCACGCTCTGTAAAGAAAACAACAAAATGAGAACAGAGAAAGATTTTAATAGAGCGGGATTTTACATTAGTATACCTGTAGAAGAAGTAGAATCTTTCCGTAAACAAAAGAAACGGTCTCTTTCCTTGTTGAAAGTGCGTCCGGGCTCTCTGTATCTCTTTCGGTTGTGAGTATCTGATAGGAATAAGCTAACACTGACTATTTTGAAGATCATTGAAGCACTCTTTTATCAAGCGGCTAAAGTGGCACGAAACCCCTTTGAATCTGATTTGATTCGCTCTGTGATTGGTGTAGAAAACCCGCGCCCACCTCTCAACTTATCAGCTGCAAAACTAAACTCAGCAAATGTCAACAACTACTGGAAACAAATGAATGACATATTCACGACATTAACACAACCAGCGAACTGAAAAGAATGACCTCACTTTACCACCTGATCGAAACTGACCAATCGAGAATTGACCCTTAAAACCAATACCATCACCACCAATCACTGCAAACAACTCTTCCCTGAATACGGTAACACACAGGTTACAGAAAGCCAGCGTGACTTGTACACTTTCAATGAAGTGTATGTTTGTCTCACGATGTAGTCACTTCCGATGTGGAAAGTAACGTTTCAACTGCATACTGCGCGCCTTCATCTTTGATTCCGATAATGAGTTTGACTCGGGTTGTCGAAACGCTAGTCATTACTACTGTCCACAGTCCGTCTCGCGACTACTCTCACCCACACGATCAGACCACATGACTCATGGAAAACACGCATAGGAAGGCCCTCTGGGGGCTATCTTAGTCTTTCAGGGGTATATCAAGATAAGGAAAAGTTAGTGCAAAACAAGCACTTACTCTGAAATCTGCGCACAGTCTATGCCTTCACGTTTGAAGTAATTTCGCAGACGCACAAAGTCAAAGTACGATGGAACAAAGATTGCTGTGTGGCCCATAAGGGAACCCTTGAAATCGGGTAAAACCTGAAAAAGATGATTGACAAGTTGAATTGGTTATCTGAGAACTCGCATAGCAGGCTGTACAACAGCCTTTTTTAAACTTAATTTAATCGTGAATCAATTGACGCAGAATGACCACTTTAAGTGTGTGACGAATTCATTATCAAAGGTAAACTACAGTTAAAGCAATTGCAGAAAGAAAAGCCTGAAATTGAGAACAAAAAAGTGGATTCGGGCTTGGACACGACTTGAACTTGTGTTTCATCAACTACAAGCCTGTTTATGTGAAAAAAAAGGCAAAGCGAAGCTGGAGCTTATTAGAGAGTGCTGGATTATTAGAAAAGGACAAAATGCGCATCAACAGTTATCTTCTGGCACGTAGCCCTTATTATTAAATACCTACGAGGGGAAGGAAGGAAGCTTGTTAGAAACTTGAAGGTCTCGATGGGAGTCTTATTAGAGAGGGGAGCTTATCAGAACTGCTGCGATTAGTGTAGAAACACTAAACAGCCACAACGAAAGAAGGAATTGTCCTTCCTGGTGAAACAAATAGGTGGCCAGTTGAACTCGTCTTACCTTATCTATAAAGATTTGGAATCTCTTGTTGGCGGCTTCTGAAAAATTTGAGCAGTCAAAACGATGGAAGGTCTAGAATAAAAAACAGAAATCACTAAAACTCAATAACTCCTACATAAACTTTTAGGTTAATAGCATAATTTATATAAAAGTATCAAGGTTTTCCTCGTGTGCAAGTTCCCTTAAAGAGCATGCATACTCAAGAAACCAAAGAATTTTTATATCCACCAACGAAGAGTATATTTGAAATCATGAAACTGAGTGCGTTTTGAGAACCCAAACAGTAACATAGCCTTTCCCAAAAATTATCTGAAAATTTGCGAGATATTTGCCAACGGACATGGCAATTTTGTCTACTAGATATCTAACTGCGTAACTTTGGTATAGCAGACTTTAGTTCACCCCAGTGGCAGGAGCAAAGTCCAACAATTCGACCTGGAGAGCGAGAAAGGCTCATATCTAAAGCAGAAACTGTTAGCGAACCGCAATTGATAGTTTCCGCTAGTGACGGGCGGTTGAACTGAGATCTGGCGCGTCGTATCTATGCATAATCTGAAGCGTTGTATCTGTGCGTAATCTGAAGCGTTGTATCTATGCATAATCTGACGATTCGTATCTATGCGTAATCTGAAGCGTTGTTTCTATGCGTAATCTGAACCGTTGTATCTGTGAGTAATCTCGTACCCAGATCTCTCTTCAGGGCTTACCTGGGGAACCTGGACGGCCACTTGACAAATAGAACCTGGTACATCAGTTGAACAAACTTTCACCTTACCAGCAAAATGTGACTTCTTTATTAAGAAAAATAAATGTGTTTTACTATATAATTCTTATATCTTTTAGTGACTTATCAAAGCTACCCCCCCGAAAAAAAAAGAGGGAATGCAATGATATAAATTATAAATCTCTCACATACACAAAAAAAAAAAGATTGCCAGCGAAAAGGTTCATGACAACAAACAATGTCTTGACAATTATCTAACTCACAATGAAATATAACAAACATTTCTGTTTTATTATTTACAGAACTATGTGGGTGTATCACTACTGCTTGACATCCATAAAGATATTTTATTGTAAACAAAGGATATTGAAACATTGTCTGTTAAACAGAGAGTTCATTTCAGGTGACACGAAACTGCTGAATATGAGGGTCTGTCTGTAATACTTCGACCTACAAAGAAAATTAGTACAATGTTATAAACAGGTAGAACAGTACTATTTGATTTGTCTCTAAATTTTAACCGGAGAAGGCATTTTTATGGAGTAAAGGCAAAACAACGCGATTAGTGCTAACTGACCTTGGTGATTATAAAAAGCCACATATTTCCATGCAAATTCTCCAATTTATACATCAAGAGCTAAAAGAACTCCAGGTCCTTTACAAATAAAAGTTGCTCGAAGGGGCTGGAAGTTTAAAGGAAAATTTTCCGCAAACTTCCAAGTTCACAAGATCAAAAAACAAACTTTGTACATTTTGCCTGACATTTTTATTGACATTTGCTTGACTTATTTTGAGCGCCAAATGTTTCAGAGGTGTTGAGTCAGAATGTACAAGTATACCAGGATTTTTATGCCAGAGAAAGGGGTCATCACACAGTCTAGATCCTTTGCCACGCCCTCGCACTTACCATCCATTCAGACACCACATTCTCACACGAGAAAAGTCAACATCATGCGAGTCTTTTGGTTGCTGATGGAGATGCTCAAAGACGTGCTGCAAATGATAAAAAAGTACAACATGTGATTAACTTAACAAAAGTGAGGCTAACCGATAAAATTCCATAGGTAACATGCAGTAATCACTTCTGCGAAACAAGCCAATGTTCCCTTCATAATTATACAAGGTAAAACGACAAAAAACATGCAGTGCTATCAAAAATGGTCTGATTCAACTAACGTAATCATTATAGAGGCTGGTATAATAAAATACATACCTGAACATGTTCCCAGTTTTGCATGAGGAAGACATCTGTTTGATCAGCAATAATAACTTCAATGGATGAAAGGAAATCATATTCATGGGACTTTTCTCTGTAAATTGATATGCATGATACATAAATAAACAAATTTACTTTTGTTGTGGCACATCGTGAAATTTACTATATAATTTGAACCGAGTGGAGTACAATTTTTTCTGAAATCATATGCTCGATTTCAAAATCCAACAGGTTACTGAAACTTGTTTGTCTCAGTCTCTTGGTACTGAGTGGGAATTGCTCTGGTGGACTAAAATAGTCCAAAATTGAAAATCAAGCACAAAAACACAACTATCCTTAAAAAACCTTGAAAAAAAAACATTTTTAACTAATGGAAATAAAATTTCCTTGATTTTCTCTCTTTCTGGAAAAATTAACCAAACTTGATCCTATTTGAGAGATCTAGTAAACTGTACAGGAACCAAGGATGTTTGTTTCTAATACAGGAGAGTTGTTATGTATGTATTTACGTGAGCAATATTTTAGAAATACCCTGCACTTCCAATGATTGTCCTTAGTCCAAGAGGCGACGCTACAATAATATCTGATGAGTAAAACTTGGCATACAACTTCACACATTTTTTCATAACTGAAATTCCAATCCTAAAGCAGTCATCAATGTTCCCTGCAAACATCTGTTTAAAATCTTCTGGCCTGTTTTCCTTTGAACTGCTCGAGTCCTCTGTCTCCCCAAACTCCTCGTAGAATCGTTTCTTGTTCATAACTTGACCCTACAAAAGTAAGACAAGAGAAAATTGCTGTATTCCAACCAGCCTTGCAGTACGGTAGAAGTGTAATATAAACGGTGTACATGTACTTTTCATGAGTAGTCTATTGCTTTTTACTGTAACATTACTCTCCTTGAATTCTATCACAAATTCCGAAATCTGATTATCTACTACTTACCATCTATTCCCTGAGAGAAAGTGAGAGGAGCGAGTTACCTGATATTGTGCAGTATTAAACAAAATAATATTTTACTTACACCTTCCTCTGGACAGATAAGGTGCATGATAACCTCCACCACCTTTAACGCTGCATCACGGAAAGGAACTAGGATCAAAATCTTGGGTCTTGTAAGTCCTTGATCACGGAGTTCACTGCAAAAGGAAGTAATACTGAGTAAAAAGGTTACGTCTGAATTCTTAGTAGCAGAGAAAAACAGTTCTGAAACAGATGATACAGCAAGTCACCCAACCCTAGAGAGAACTACTGTCAGGATGAAAACCAATCTAAGTGGTTTTTTTTTCCTCAAAGGCAACCAGGGTTCAACAAAATAGTAAAACTAACCGTAAAACAGGAAAGAGACACAGGAAAATTACAAGTAAAAATAGATTTAGGTCTGCACCTTTTTTCAATCAAGACTAATTACCTACCAAGGCACTTGGAATATTTGACAACACCTTGGTGGTTACATGAAGTATTGGAGCTAAACATGGTGTCCTGGGTGATCAGCATGCAAGGGGGAGAGTTCTTTACAAAGGTTAATTCATGGAGGGATGCTACCCTGCTCCATTACTTCCCTACTCCTTCGTCAAAACCTCTATCTTCTTTTCACTCTGGTAGTCATGTTGCAGCAAGAAGTAAAGCTGTAATATGCTGGAGAGAAGACAGGCTTTTTTTCTGAAATTATTTGTAGAATGACTGCTTCCTTACCCAATTTCTTTTTTGTCTTTCCAAGACTGAACAATTTTTGCAGTATTCTTCATCACTCTTGACCGCGTCCTATCAGACAATATAAAAAATACTTCAACAATGAGGACTTGCCATGTACTGCTAAGGTGTGATTCAGAAGGCGTATGATGTTTATCTTCATTACAACTTTCTACCTGAAGCATTTGGGAATTCCAATGAGTACTGGTAAGCTTACCGACCAAATATTTTCCTTCGATATGTTGAGAGTTCACCTGTGGCTGCTACCATTTTGAAACTAGTGCACTAACTAGGTAATTTAGTATTATCAAGTGAGTTGATAATGTAAATT